TCTATATAGAGGCACTTGCTAGATCTATATCTTATTTCGCATCTTTTTTCTCCGCTCTCTTGCCCTCTCGTTTCTCGTATTCTCTCTCTCTCTCTACTCTTTGCCCGCTCTCTTATGTGCTCTCTCTACTTTCCTCATCTGCTCCTCTCTCCCTCGCTCTCTCCTCTCTTCTCTCTCGCCCCCCCCACCTTCGCCCTTCTTCTCTCTCTCTCCGCTCTCTCTCTCTCTCTCTGCTCCCCTCCTTCCTTCCCTCTTTTCTTTATCTCTCTTCTCTCTTCTCTTCCTCTCTCCTGTCTCTCTCTGTTTCTCTCTCTCTCTCTCTCTCTCTCCTCTCCTCTCTCCTCGCGCTCTCTGTTCTCCTTCCTGCTCTATCTCCCGCGCCTGCTCGCCTCTCGCTCTCTCTCTCCGTCCTCTCTCTCTCTATCTTCTCTCTCTTCGCTCTGCGCTGCAGTCGCGTTGCGCGCTGCCTGCGTCTCTCGGCGACGCGAGCGCTCGGTCGCGCGGCGTGCTCGCGCTCTCGCGTCGCGCTCGCTCGCTTGCGCTCGCGCGCGCGCGCTTGGGGGTTGGGTCGCGCTTGCTCTCGCTCCCGCGCGCGCGCTCATGCAGCGCGTCGCGCTCTCTCTCCGGTGCGGCTCTCAGGTCTCTCTCTGCTCCGCTCTTCTCGCTCGCAGCTTCTCTTAAGCGCTCCGAAGAGGGTCGGCAGGCGGCGCGCTGGCTCGCGGCCTCGTACGCGCGGCGGCGTCGCGGCGGGGCGTGCTCGGAGCTGGGCGCGGGCGCCCTGCAGCGGGCGCGCGCGAGCGCCTGGTCGCAGCGGCCCGCGCGCGAGCGCGCGAGCTATGCAGCGCCGCGGGTATCGCGGCGCGGATCGACGTAGCGCGAGGGAGCGCGATCGCGCAGCTTAGCGCTCGCTCGCTGCGCTCTCGCTGCGCTCTGCTTGTTATCGGCCTTTGTTTTCGTGTTTCCTGCGCTTCGCGCTCCTATCTCGCCTCGCTCTTCGTGCTCCTCTTTCTCTCGTCGCTCTGCTCACTCTGCTTTTCTCGGCTCAGTTTTCCTCTCTACTCTCTCCTATCCTTCCCTCTTCTGTTTCTGGGGGGGGGGAGCTGAGGGTGGGGGGTTCACCTCTGACTATCGTTACTTGTTTATTGGGGGGTTTTTCTCTTTCTTCGACGTTCTTGTCACCCCCTCCCTCTTTCTTTTTTCACTCGTCTCCTTCTCCCTTCTTTACTACTCTCTTTTCTCTCTCTCTCTCTTCCCTCTCTCCCTCTCTTTCTCCCGTCTTCTTCTCTTCTTGATCTCGTCTTCTCTCTCTCTCCACCTCCTCTCTCCTCTCTCTGCTGTTTCTCTTCTCTCTCTACTCGCTCTCTCTCTCTCCTCTTCTTCCTTCTCCTCTCTTTCTCTCTCCTCTCTATTCTCTCTCTCTTCTTTTCTCTCTCCTCTCTTCTCTCTCTTTCTTATCCTCAATATCTGCATTCTCTTCCTCTCTACTCATCTCTCCTCTCTCCTTTTCTCTCTCTCATCTTTTCTCTCGTTTTTCTCCGCAATCCACTAAAATAACGACGAGGAGTTTTGCGTCTCTACCCCCCTATAGCTCTTTCCCACCAGCCCTCTTTGTTTTGGTACTGTCGCCTTCTTGTATTTTGTTTTTCTCGTCTTCGCTCTCTCTCTCTGTCTCTCTTCTTTCTCTCTTCCCCGTTGTTCTCCTCTCTCCTCCTCGTTTTCTCCTCGCGTGTTCTCTCTTAGGCTCTCTCTCTCTCCTCTACCTCTTTCGCTCTTTGTTTTTCTCCTTCTCTCCTCCTCTTCTGCGTGGCGCTCTGGTCGCGCGCGCGCGCGCCGCGCCCCTCGAGTCACCCGCGCGCGCCCGCGTCGCGTCCTGCGAGAGAGAAAGTCAGTTCCTTGTCATCCATTTTATGAATTTTGAGAGTGGTTATTTTTCTCCTTTCTCACAGCCCCCACACCTCACTTATATGCAACCCAAGTGGCGGGGCTGCCGTGTCGTTTGCTGTAAAAGGAATTAAGGAATGTGCCATTATCAGACACAACCACCCACCTCTGGGCCACCAGGACGTTGAGTCGACTGAGTCCAGCAGAGGAGCTACTTCCTGTTTCTGTTGTAGAGGTCACCGTGGGGTCATCCGGTTTGCGTACATAGGATGAGCTGGGGATACCAACCAGACTTATTGACTATAATATATACAGCATACTCTCTACTACAGCCACATAAACACTGTCTATGGCTAGGTCTCCCTAGTGAAAGAGGTCTTTTTTGGCCACTACTTTTCACTGTTGAATCAGTTTGGATGCCTGACTAGGACAAATAATGCCAAAGACAATGCATCCAGCAGTGTAATACTGAACACACAAGGAGTGTATGGAAGAGAGTGGGCAGATTACACTGTGTTTTCTAACTACATATTCAAAACCGAGAGCACTAAAAGATGGTGCAAACACAACCAATGGCGGAGGCCAAGCTGTATGACATGACCCCAACCCATGAGAGGTCAAGGAGGGGGTGGAGCTACTAAGATCACTTCCAGTACTATTGAGGCGTCGGGTGTAAGAGGAGGCTATCTACGACTCGACCAGCTGGAGAGAAAAAGGAGAAGGGAGAGAGGGGGGCAAAAGAAAGGCAAGTACCTAGCCTCTTCCTCTCTTTTTTGTTTTTTCTCATCCCCCCCTGTCCTCTCTTTGCTTTTTATCCTCTCTCCCTCCTCTCCCTCTCCCCTCGCTCTTTTCCTCCCCCGACCACCCCCCCCCACCCCCACATACTCAAATCCAGAAACCAGACCCCCCCAATGCCACCACGCCCGGCCACCACCACCTCTCTACCCCTCCTCCACCCCTTCACCTTCGTTTCTTTTCTTAATCTTTCTCTTCTCTTTCTCCTCTTCTTGCTTTTTTTGTTTAGTTTTTCTCACCTCCTTGTCGCGTGCTTCCGTCCCGACCAGGTCCGGTTGCGCCCCATCATACATATCGCGGTGTGGTAGTGGGTCATGTCTTTAATGAACATACACTCGCGAACTCCGCTTTTCTTTTTTTGTTTTTCTTGCTCTCTCTCTTTTCTTTCCTTTCCTATAGTTCTTGTTTTTTTTTTTTCTCCTAAGCCTTCTCTCTACCCCTTTCTTTTCTTTTTCTTCTCACCCCTCTTTTGCTTCTTTCTGGGGCCCATTTCGCTCCTCCGCTTTTCTTTCGTTTTTTTTTCTCTTCTCTCTTTTCCTTTTTCTCCTTTTTCAATCTTAGGACGTTGTTTTTGTACTTGAGAGCTTTCCGTGTGAAGGTGTCTTCTTGGAATTAGGTATAGTGGGTCTTCGTTCTAGTTATTTATTTTCTGTTTTTACGCGGTGCGAATATGTTGGGGTGGATAGTTGGTTAAGGAAAGAAGGTGTTTGCACATTCTCTGGAATGTTTGTCTTATGTGATTAGGGCATCTTGTAGATAGAGGTGTTCTATGGTGGGGAAAAACACGGAGTAGTGTGGCAAGTGTGAGGAAGGAGACTTTTTATTGTTATGCAAGAAGTTTGCAAGGGGGTGTTGGGAGGCGGTTTTGTGATAAAGATATGCGAGTAAATAAGGAGTATTTTTTTCTTTCTACCTACCTCTCTCCTTTCTTTTTCTTCTCTCCCGTTTCCTCCCTTTTCCTCTCTCTCCCCTCTTTCACCTTATAACTTTGTTAGTTTGTTATTTGTTGCGTGTGAGGAGTATATTTTGTTAGTTGATGCATATTGAAGCTCTCAAACCTGTTTTAGCTTTTCACACACATAGGAAGCGATGCCTTTCACAACAACAGTGACGTGAGTAGCCTATTCACACATAGTTGACATCTAAGTCGCCTTTCACACAACATTGAAGGGGATTACGTATCCTTTCAACACACAGTGAAGCTGAGTAGCCTTCCAACTGCCATTCCATACGTGGTACAATGACAATCCATCAAATAGCAAGGCCCGCTTAACCCACGCTGCTACCGGTCTGGGATATTGAAGATACGTCTCGTTGGAGTGGGGTATCACTTACAAGTCTTGGTCGAAGTCCTGGTTCCTGAAATAGAAAGCCATGTAAAAAGTTGGCCAGTCTAATAAGAGTCACCAGTAGTGATTAGAGGTGATGCTGATGTTATTGTCCGTCTAATAGTACAGTGTGTAATTAAGGGTGTTGCTGAGTGGGACTCTCCTGAACATTGTTCAATCTCAGTTGTATTTCCTTGATTCCTCGTGTCCTTGTCAAATACATCCAAGATGAAAACTAGGACAGAATATGTGAGGAATCAAGGATATATAACTAGGAAACGAGGACAGAAGATGAGGGAATCAAGGATGTATAACTAGGATACGAGGACAGAAGATGAGGAATCAAGGATACATAACTAGGAAACGAGGACAGAAGTTGTGAGGAATCAAGGATATATAACTAGGAAACGAGGACAGAAGTTGTGAGGAATCAAGGATATATAACTAGGAAACGAGGACAGAAGATGTGAGGAATCAAGGATGAAATAATAACTAGCAAACGAAGGACAGAAGATGTTCGTGAATCAATGATCCCTAACTAGAAACGAGGACAGAATAATTTGAGGAATCAAGATATATAACTCGTAAACAAGGACAGAAAGTTTTTATGAAATCACAAGATACCTCACTTGAAGCGAATTTTACAGCAGAATTTTCTTCCTACCCTGTGTGTCATCCTAGTAACTCGAATAATATGTTGAGTAAACAATGTATATATCACTCTGAAACCTTGTTTTCATGTTGACATAAGATTTATTAATTATGATAAATAACTATTGAACACGAGACAGAATTTTTTTATTAATCAATGATACATTAACTACTTACCACTCACACTATTCCATAATATGTGCGGAATTCAAGGATACATACTAAGAAAACGATTACAAAGAAGATGTGAGGGAATCAAGGTATCTTACTATGAAACAACATGGACAGAAGTTGTGAGGAATCAAGGATAAATAACTAGGAAACGAGGACAGAAGATGTGAGGAATCAAGGATAAATAACTAGGAAACGAGGACAGAAGTTGTGAGGAATCAAGGATATACAGCTTAAACATGTAAATAAAGTCAATGACATCAATAACAATGATTCCTCTACCTTGGTGTCTGTGGTGGTGGTGTTGGAGCTGAGGCGTGGGCTGGAGGCAGAGCGGGTCATCCCTAGGCCCTGGCCAGACTCAAGGGCCCCGCGGGTGGACTCCTGGCTGGGGTCGGTGGCCACTGAAGGCCCCAGGGTCACCGAGCTGCCTGCCTTACGAAGAGAGGTCCTCCAGGAGCCAGGGGCCGAGCCAGGGGCCGAGCAAGGGGCCACTTCGGGGGCTGGGGGCTTCCCTGGGTCCTGCTACTTACACAACAGAGAGAGAGAGAGTTAACTTTGAGTAATCTCCTCACTTCAAATCAAATCAAATCAACAACCTTCCCAGAGAGATATTAAAGGCAATTTCTCAGGAGTTCACAGATCAAGCAGAATTCAATAGCAGAGAGAGGTTGTTAATCTGAGTTTGTTTGAAACCCTCCTTAGTTAATTCCATCATGAGGTGCTACAAAGTCAAAGCTCTCCTAAAGAGCGTTTTGTTGCAATAGAAACCGTGTCGTACCTTTTTGCCCGTGTTTCCTGAAGTGCTGGTTGCCGTGGAGGTATCGTGGGTGGAGGAGCTGTTGCGTTTGTTGTTCAAGTTGTTGATGATCTCTCGGTTTTTGGCTTTCTCTGCAACAACAACACAACGATCAGTCAGTCCATGTGACGGTTTCCATCACAACAACAGGAACAGCATCTGTATCAGACCACCAAGGCGATGGAACCCATTAAAGCCATTAAAGCATAACTGCCTTTTCTTCAAATGGTTGGTGATAATAATCAAGAATTGGAATTTCAGTTTACTTCCTGAATTGACCCGAAAATCTTCAGAATATCTCTCAGGGCCTTGGTCAAAAGTAGTGCACTATATAGGGAATAGGGTGCCATTTGGCTATGGGCCCTGATTTAAAGTAGTGCACTAGATAGGAAATAGGGTGCCATTTGGCTATGGGCCCTGATCTAAAGTAGTGCACTATATAGGGAATAGGGTGCCATTTGGCTATGGACCCTGTCTCTTACCTGATTCAGCATCACTCTCAGATTCGTCGTCCTCCTCTTCTGAGCTGGAGCTGCTAGAGGTCTGGCCCTGTCCCTGTGTCCCAGGCTGGCCCTGTCCCTGTGTCCCAGGCTGGCCCTGTGTCCCAGGCTGGCCCTGTCCCTGTCCCTGTGTCCCAGGCTGGCCCTGTCCCTGTGTCCCAGGCTGGCCCTGTCCCTGTGTCCCAGGCTGGCCCTGTCCCTGTGTCCCAGGCTGTCCCTGTGTCCCAGGCTGTCCCTGTGTCCCAGGCTGTCCCTGTGTCCCAGGCTGGCCCTGTCCCTGTGTCCCAGGCTGGCCCTGTCCCTGTGTCCCAGGCTGGCCCTGTTCCTGTGTCCCAGGCTGGCCCTGTCCCTGTGTCCCAGGCTGGCCCTGGCCCTGTGTCCCAGGCTGGCCCTGGCCCTGTGTCCCAGGCTGGCCCTGGCCCTGTGTCCCAGGCTGGCCCTGGCCCTGTCCCTGTGTCCCAGGCTGGCCCTGGCCCTGTGTCCCAGGCTGGCCCTGGCCCTGTGTCCCAGGCTGGCCCTGGCCCTGTGTCCCAGGCTGGCCCTGTCCCTGTGTCCCAGGCTGGCCCTGTCCCTGTGTCCCAGGCTGGCCCTGTCCCTGTGTCCCAGGCTGGCCCTGTCCTCCCTCCTCCTCCTCCTCCTCGGCTGGGCTGCTGGTCAGGGCGGGGGGAGGGTGCTTCTCTCTCTCGTGGAGGCAGATCTTCTCTCTGCTGCTCATACGAGAGATTGAGGTCCTGCAGGGGAGGGGCAGGGGGCAGAGACAGGATGACAGGTAGGCATGCAGGAGCCAATCAGTGAGGGCGACCACTCAGGGTGCAGCAAATCAGAGTGTATGTGGGCAAAAACAAACAAAGCAGGATGTCTACGGTGTCTGAATCTGGTGTGGAAACTGGACCAACATTTAACATGTCTACGGTGTCTGAATCTGGTCTGGAAACTGGACCAACATTAACATGTCTACGGTGTCTGAATCTGGTCTGGAAACTGGACCAACATTTAACATGTCTACGGTGTCTGAATCTGGTCTGGAAACTGGACCAACATTTAACATGTCTACGGTGTCTGAATCTGGTCTGGAAACTGGACCAACATTTAACATGTCTACGGTGTCTGAATCTGGTCTGGAAAGTGGACCAACATTTAACAGATCTATGGTGTCTGAATCTGGTCTGGAATTGGGACCAACATTTAAACATGTCTACGGTGTCTGAATGGGTCTGGAGGAACCACCAACATTTAACATGTTACGTGTTGAATCTGGTCTAAAACGACAACATTAACAATGTCTACGGTGTCTGAATCTGGTCTGGAAACTGGACCAACATTTAACATGTCTACAGTGTCTGAATTTGGTCTGGAAACTGGACCAACATTAACAGCTGGTGCAATCTGGTCTGAAACGGACAAATTTAAATCTATGAGTGTCTGAATCTGGTGGAACTAGGACCAAACATTTAAACATGCACGTGCGAATTAGAGCTTGGAAACTGCCCACATTAACGAGTACGGAGCTGAATCTAGGACGGAGAAACAACATTAGACAGGGGTGAACTAGAGGAGGAAAGACCAAGACAGTGACTATAGTGGGGGTGACTGGGGCTAGAGGAGGGATGGACTAGAGGATAGAGCGACGGGGAACTGAGGAGGAGAATGGACTAACAGTGATAGAGATGCGTAGGTGTGACTAGAAGGTGAAGGACTAGAGGAGGGTACTCAGGGGGAGGTGAGAGGAGAGGAAGACTAGAGGAGGGAACGGGACTAGAGGGGGAGAGATGAGGAGGGAGACTAGAAGAGGGAGAGGACTAGAGGACGGGAGGAACTAGAGGAGGGAGTGACTAGCGGAGGGATAGTGACTAGAGGAAATGGCGGGACTAGGGAGGGGGTAACAGAGGAGGGAGTGACTAGAGGAGGGAGAGTTTTAAGCAGGAGGGAGTGACAGAGAGGGAGAAGGAACTAGAGAATGGCAGTGACTAGAGGAGGGCAGATGACTAGAGGAGGGAGTGACTAGAGGAGGGAGAGACTAGAGGAGGGAAGTGACATAGAGGAGGGATGAACTAGAGAGGGAGTGACTAGAGGAGGGAGTGATAGAGGAGGGAGGACTAGAGGAGGGAGTGACTAGAGGAGGGAGGACAGAGGAGGGAGGGACTAGAGGAGGGAGAGAATGGAGAGGGAAGGGAGGGGAGCTAGAGGAGGGATGGACTAGAGGAGGGAGACTAGAGAGGGAGTGACTAGAGGAGGGAGTGACTAGAGGAGGGAGAGACTAGAGGAGGGAGTGACTAGAGGAGGGAGAGACTAGAGGAGGGAGTGATAAGGAGGGAGTGACTAGAGGAGGGAGAGGACTAGAGGAGGGAGATAGAGGAGAGACTAGAGGAGGGATGACTAGAGAGGGAGAGACTAGAGGAGGAGGAGTGACTAGAGGAGGGAGTGACTAGAGGAGGGAGTGACTAGAGGAGGGAGAGACTAGAGGAGGGGAGCGAGGACTAGAGGAGGGAGTGACTAGAGGAGGGAGTGACTAGAGGAGGGAGATGACTAGAGGAGGGAGTGACTAGAGGAGGGAGTGACTAGAGGAGGGAGTGACTAGAGGAGGGAGAGACTAGAGGAGGGGGATAGAGGAGGGAGTGACTAGAGGAGGGAGGACTAGAGGAGGGAGGGAACAGAGAGGGGAGACTAGAGGAGGGGTGTGACTAGAGCGAGTGAGAGACTAGGGAGGGAGTGACTAGAGGGGGAGACTAGAGGAAGGGAGGACTAGAGAGAGGGAGAGACTAGAGAGTGGAGTGAATGACTAGAGGAGGGAGTGACTAGAGGAGGGAGAGGGACTAGAGAGAGGAGATGGGTAGGGAGTGAGATAGGACTAGAGAGGGAGGACTAGAGGAGGGAGTGAGAGGAGAGAGGAGGGAGTGACTAGAGAGGGAGAGAGGAGGACTAGAGGAGGGAGTGTGACTAGAGGAGGGAGTGACTAAGAGGGAGGAGTGACTAGAGGAGGGAGAGACTAGAGGAGGGAGTGACTAGAGGAGGGAGTGACTAGAGGAGGGAGTAGAGATGGAGGGAGTGATAGAGGAGGGAGTGACTGAAGAGGAGGGAGAGTACTAGAGAGGAGGATAGAGGAGGGAGTGACTGGGGAGGAAGAGCTAGAGGGGAGTGACTAGAGGAGGGAGTGAACTAGAGGAGGGAGAGAGAATAGCAGGAAGGGGAGAGAGATGATAGAGGAGGGAGTGGACTAGAGGAGGGAGTGACTAGAGGAGGGAGGAGTAAGATAAGAGGAGGGACGAGAAGAGGAAAGAGGAGGGAGAGACTAGGGGAGGGAGTAAACTAGAGAGGAGTAAACTAGGAGGGAGAGGAGGAGTGACTAGAGGAGGGAGTGACTAGAGGAGGGAGAGACTAGAGGAGGGAGTGAGACTAGAGGAGGGAGAGACTAGAGGAGGGAGTGACTAGAGGAGGGAGAGACTAGAGGAGGGAGTGACTAGAGGAGGGAGTGACTAGAGGAGGGAGAGAGGAGGGAGTGACTAGAGGAGGGAGAGACTAGAGGAGGGAGTGACTAGAGGAGGGAGAGACTAGAGGAGGGAGTGGGACTAGAGGAGGGAGTGACTAAGAGGAGGGAGAGACTAGAGGAGGGAGAGACTAGAGGAGGGAGAGACTAGAGGATGGGAGGACTAGAGGAGGGATGACTAGATGAGACTAGAGGAGGGAGAGACTAGAGGAGGGAGTGACTAGAGGAGGGAGTGACTAGAGGAGGGAGTGACTAGAGGATTCAGTACTATATTGTGTCTGGTTCAGGTCAGTAACACACAGGGCTGGTTCTGATATTCTATTGGTAGAAAGGTGTGCTACCTAATGCTCTGTGATCTGTGGTTCGGTATCAGTGATTCCTGGGTCAGTAACAAACGGGTCAGTAAGAGACGGGTCAGTAACAGACGGGTCAATATGAGACATGCTGGGGCACTGACCTGCGTGGTCTAACTGGTGCCATATTGATAGGAGGACTGGTCTCAATGACCGGAGGCTGGGACAGCTTGGCTTTCTCAGTACGCAACTACAGAGAGAGAGAGAGAGAGATATACAGAGTAAATATGCAGGAAGAGCTATACAGAGATATATACATTGATAAACAATTCATATTTTATATATATATACTCATAGTACCAGTCAAAAATTTTGTTTTTCTTTATTTTTACTATTTTCTACATTGTAGAATAATAGTGAAGACATCAAAACTATGAAATAACACATATGGAATCATGTAGTTACCAAAACAGTGTTCAACAAATCAAAATATATTTTATATTTGAGATTCTTCAAATAGCCACCCTTTGCACTGACGACAGCTTTGCACACTCTTGGCATTCTCTCAACCAGCTTCACCTGGAATGTTTTTCCAACAGTCTTAATGTAGTTCCCACATATGCTGAGCACTTGTTGGCTGCTTTTCCTTCACTCTGCCGTCCGACTCATCCCAAACCATCTCAATTGGGTTGAGGTCGGGGGATTGTGGAGGCCAGGTCATCTGATGCAGCACTCCATCACTCTCCTTCTTGTTAAAATAGCCCTTACACAGCCTGGAGGTGTGTTGTGTAATTGTCCTGTTGAAAAACAAATGATAGTCCCACTAAGCGCAAACCAGATGGGATGGCATATTGCTGCAGAATGCTGTGGTAGCCATGCTGGTTAAGTGTGCCTTGAATTCTAAATAAATCACAGACAGTGTCACCAGCAAAGCATCCCCACATCATAACACCTCCTCCTCCATGCTTCACGGTGGGAAATACACATGCGGAGATCATCCGTTCACCCACACCACGTCTCACAAAGCTACGGCGGTAGGAACCAAAAATCTCCAATTTGGACTCCAGACCAAAGGACAAATTTCCACCGGTCTAATGTCCATTGCTCGCTTTTCTTGGCCCAAGCAGGTCTCTTCTTATTATTGGTGTCCTTTAGTAGTGGTTTATTTGCAGCAATTCGACCATGAAGGCCTGATTCACACAGTCCTCTTTGAACAGTTGATGTTGAGATGTGTCTGTTACTTGAACTCTGTGAAGCATTTATTTGGGCTGAAATTTCTGAGGCTGGTAACTCTAATGAACTTATCCTCTGCAGCAGAGGTAACTCTGGGTCTTCCTTTCCTGTGGCGGTCCTCATGAGAGCCAGTTTCATCATAGCGCTTGATGGTTTTTGCGACTTCACTTTAAGAAAAGTTCAAAGTTCTTGAAATGTTCCGTATTGACTGACCTTCATGTCTTAAAGTAATGATGGACTGTCATTTCTCTTTGCTTATTTGAGCTGTTCTTGCCATAATACGGACTTAGTCTTTTACCAAATAGGGCTATCTTCTGTATACCCCCTACCTTGTTACAACACAACTGATTGGCTCAAACGCATTAAGAAGGAAAGAAATTGCACAAATTAACTTTTAAAAAGGCTCACCTGTTAATTGAAATGCATTCCAGGTGACTACCTCATGAAGCAGGTTGAGAGAATGCCAAGAATGTGCAAAGCTGTCATCAAGGCAAAGGGTGGCTATTTGAAGAATCTCAAATCTCAAATATATTTTGATTTGTTTAACACTTTTTTGGTTACGACATGATTCCATATGTGTTATTTCATAGTTTTGATATCTTCACTATTATTCTACAATGTAGGAAATAGAAAAAATAAAGAAAAACCCTTGAATGAGTAGGTGTGTCCAAACTTTTGACTGGTACTGTATATATATATAAAGTGAGGGAAAAAAGTATTTGATCCCCTGCTGATTTTGTACGTTTGCCCACTGACAAAGAAATTATCAGTCTATAATTTTAATGGTAGGTTTATTTGAACAGTGAGAGACAGAATAACAACAACAAATTCCAGAAAAACGCATGTCAAAAATGTTATACATTTATTTTTGCATTTTAATGAGGGAAATAGGTATTTGACCCCCTCTCAATCAGAAGATTTCTGGCTCCCAGGTGTCTTTTATACAGGTAACGAGCTGAGATTAGGAGCACACTCTTAAAGGGAGTGTTCCTAATCTCAGCTTGTTACCTGTATAAAAGACACCTGTCCACAGAAGCAATCAATCAGATTCCAAACTCTCCACCATGGCCAAGACCAAAGAGCTCTCCAAGGATGTCAGGGACAAGATTGTAGACCTGGAATGGGCTACAAAACCATCACCAAGCAGCTTGGTGAGAAGGTGACAACAGTTGGTGCGATTATTCGCAAATGGAAGAAATACGGTGACCCGCTCCTGCAGGTTCATGCTCTACAACATTCGGAGAGTACGACCCTGCCTTACACAGGAAGCGGCACAGGTCCTAATCCAGGCACTTGTCATCTCCCGTCTGGACTACTGCAACTCGCTGTTGGCTGGCCTCCCTGCCTGCGCCATTAAACCCCTACAACTCATCCAGAATGCCGCAGCCCGTCTGGTGTTCAACCTTCCCAAGTTCTCTCACGTCACCCCCCTCCTCCGCACACTCCACTGGCTTCCAGTTGAAGCTCGCATCCGCTACAAGACCATGGTGCTTGCCTATGGAGCAGTGAGGGGAACGGCACCTCTGTACCTTCGGGCTCTGATCAGTCCCTACACCCAAACGAGGGCATTGCGTTCATCCACCTCTGGCCTGCTGGCTCCCCTTCCTCTGCGGAAGCATAGTTCCCGCTCAGCCCAGTCAAAACTGTTCGCTGCTCTGGCACCCCAATGGTGGAACAAGCTCCCTCACGACGCCAGGACAGCGGAGTCACTCACCACCTTCCGGAGGCATTTGAAACCCCACCTCTTTAAGGAATACCTGGGATAGGATAAAGTAATCCTTCTACCCCCCCCCCCCCCCCAAAAATTGTAAAGTGGTTATCCCACTGGCTATAGGGTGAACGCACCAATTGGTGAGTCGCTCTGGATAAGAGCGTCTGCTAAATGACGTAAATGTGCCCTTGAGCAAGGCACTTAACCCTAATTGCTCCTGTAAGTCGCTCTGGATAAGAGCGTCTGCTAAATGACTAAAATGTAATGTAAATGTAAATACAAAATAACTGTCAATCTCCCTCGGCCTGGGGCTCCATGCAACATCTCACCTCGTGGAGTTGCAATGATCATGAGAACGGTGAGGAATCAGCCCAGAACTACACAGGAGGATCTTCTCAATGATCTCAAGGCAGCTGGGACCATAGTCACCAAGAAAACAATTGGTAACACACTACGCCGTGAAGGACTGAAATCCTGCAGCGCCCGCAAGGTCCCCCTGCTCAAGAAAACACATATACAGGGCCGTCTGAAGTTTGCCAATGAACATCTGAATGATTCAGAGGAGAACTGGGTGAAAGTGTTGTGGTCAGATGAGACCAAAATCGAGCACTTTGGCATCAACTCAACTCGCCATGTTTGGAGGAGGAGGAATGCTGCCTATGACCCCAAGAACACCATCCCCACTGTCATACATGGAGGTGGAAACATTATGCTTTGGGGGTGTTTTCTGCTAAGGGGACAGGACAACTTCACCGCATCAAAGGGACGATGGACGGGGACATGTACCGTCAAATCTTGGGTGAGAACCTCCTTCCCTCAGCCAGGGCATTGAAAATGGGTCGTGGATGGGTATTCTAGCATGACAATGACCCAAAACACACGGCCAAGGCAACAAAGGAGTGGCTCAAGAAGAAGCACATTAAGGTCCTGGAGTGGCCTAGCCAGTCTCCAGACCTTAATCCCATAGAAAATCTGTGGAGGGAGCTGAAGGTTCGAGTTGCCAAACGTCAGTCTCGAAACCTTAATGACTTGGAGAAGATCTGCAAAGAGGAGAGGGACAAAATCCCTCCTGAGATGTGTGCAAACCTGGTGGCCAACTACAAGAAACGTCTGACCTCTGTGATTGCCAACAAGGGTTTTGCCACCAAGTACTAAGTCATGTTTTGCAGAGGGGTCAAATACTTATTTCCCTCATTAAAATACAAATCAATTTATAACATTTTTGACATGCGTTTTTCTGGATTTCTTTGTTGTTATTCTGTCTCTCACTGTTCAAATAAACCTACCATTAAAAGTATAGACTGATCATGTCTTTGTCAGTGGGCAAACGTACAAAATCAGCAGGGGATCAAATAATTTTTCCCTCACTGTATATATACACATACTGTATCTACAGTGGGGAGAACAAGTATTTGATACACTGCCAATTTTGCAGGTTTTCCTACTTACAAAGCATGTAGAGGTCTGTAATTTTTATCATAGGTACACTTCTACTGTGAAAGACGGAATCTAAAACAAAAATCCAGAAAATCACATTGTATGATTTTTAAGTAATTAATTAGCATTTTATTGTATGACATAAGTATTTGACCACCTACCAACCAGTAAGAATTCCAGCTCTCACAGACCTGTTAGTTTTTCTTTAAGAACCCCTCCTGTTCTCCACTCATTACCTGTATTAACTGCACCTGTTTGAACTCGTTACCTGTATAAAAGACACCTGTCCACACACTCAATCAAACAGACTCCAACCTCTCCACAATGGCCAAGACCAGAGAGCTGTGTAAGGACATCAGGGATAAGATTGTAGACCTGCACAAGGCTGGGATGGGCTACAGGACAATAGGCAAGCAGCTTGTGAGAAGGCAACAACTGTTGGCGCAATTATTAGAAAATGGAAGAAGTTCAAGATGACGGTCAATCACCCTCGGTCTGGGGCTCCATGCAAGATCTCACCTAGTGGGGCATCAATGTTCATGAGGAAGGTGAGGGATCAGCCCAGAACTACACGGCATGACCTGGTCAATCACCTGAAGAGAGCTGGGACCACAGTCTCAAAGAAAACCATTAGTAACACACTACGCCGTCATGGATTAAAATCATGCAGCGCACGCAAGGTCCCCCTGCTCAAGCCAGCGCATGTCCAGGCCCGTCTGAAGTTTGCCAATGACCATCTGGATGATCCAGAGGAGGAATGGGAGAAGTTAATGTGGTCTGATGAGACAAAAATTGAGCTTTTTGGTCTAAACTCCACTCGCCGTGTTTGGAGGAAGAAGAAGGATGAGTACAACCCCAAGAACACCATCCCAACCGTGAAGCATGGAGGTGGAAACATCATTCTTTGGGGATGCTTTTCTGCAAAGGGGACATGACGACTGCACCGTATTGAGGGGAGGATGGATGGGGCCATGTATCGCGATATCTTGGCCAACAACCTCCTTCCCTCAGTAAGAGCATTGAAGATGGGTCGTGGCTGGGTCTTCCAGCATGACAATGACCCGAAACACACAGCCAGGGTAACTAAGGAGTGGCTCCGTAAGAAGCATCTCAAGGTCCTGGAGTGGCCTAGCCAGTCTCCAGACCTGAACCTAATAGAAAATCTTTGGAGGGAGCTGAAAGTCCGTATTTCCCAGCGACAGCCCCGAAACCTGAAGGATCTGGAGAAGGTCTATATGGAGGAGTGGGCCAAAATCCCTGCTGCAGTGTGTGCAAACCTGGTCAAGACCTACAGGAAACGTATGATCTCTGTAATTGCAAACAAAGGTTTCTGTACCAAATATTAAGTTCTGCTTTTCTGATGTATCAAATACTTATGTCATGCAATAAAATGCAAATTAATTACTTAAAAATCATACAATGTGATTTTCTGGATTTTTGTGTTAGATTCTGTCTCTCACAGTTGAAGTGTACTTATGATAAAAATTACAGACCTCTACATGCTTTGTAAGTAGGAAAACCTGCAAAATCGGCAGTGTATCGAATACTTGTTCTCCCCACTGTATATACAGAGAGAGAGAGAGACAGAGAAAGACATCATGTCCTCTAGCTATATAAGGTCACTCAGAGATAGAGGCAGCGTCCCAAATAGGAAATAGGGTGCTATTTGGGACGCCGACCCTTGTCTAAAGTAGTACACTACATTGGGAACAGGGTGCCATTTGGGACGTCTAAAGTAGTCCACTACATTGGGAACAGGGTGCCATTTGGGACGCAGACAGAGACTCACAGCGTTCTGTTTCTTTGTCAGCTCCTCCAAAGTGTCCACTAGGGTGTCATCTGCTACCTCCAAAGGAGTTTGTCCCTGGAACAGATTTACTTTAATACATGTCATTTAACATACAGCCTCCATCGGCTCATTAGCATTATGAGTGTCCCAAATGGAAACCCTATTCCCTATATAGTGCACCACTTTTGACTCTGGGTTCTGGTCTAAAGTAGTGCACTATGTAGGGAAAAAGGGTGCCATTTGAGATGCTTCCATTATCAATGCCTGCTGAGTCAGTATATAGTAGAGTAGAGGTGTTACTCAGCCTAACTGAGCTTTTCTCTGTGTGTCCTTTACATGTGTGTGTCTTCTCCCACTCACCACGTTGTTGACAGCAGCCATGTCACACATGTTGTCAGCCAGCAGAGAGCACACCTCCTCCTGCCCCCAGTGAGCCGCAGCATGCAGGGCCGTCCAGCCATCCACATCTCTACTGTCTAAATCCAGACCACACTGGAGCAGGACCCTGAGGACGGGAGGAAGAATTGCAGAAAGAGAGAGAGGGAAAAGATACAAAGAGAAGGTTGAATAGATAAAGAGGTGATAGAGAGAGAACAGGAGGACAGGAGGACAGGAGGAGAGGAGGAGAGGAGGAGAGGAGAGGAGAGGAGGACAGGAGGACAGGAGGACAGGAGGACAGGAGGAGAGGAGGACAGGAGGAGAGGAGGACAGGAGGGGGGGAGGACAGGAGGAAAAGAGAGCAGGACAGGAGGATGAATAACAGCAGCTCTTTGCTGGTCTACTGTGGTACAAAACTAGATACACCAAAGACACAGTGGCACCAGTTCATGTTATCATCTCTGACCCTGTGCCCCAGGTCAGAAGGGTTTGCACTTTAGGAACAATGGTGTTGTCTAAATTGTGCACTCTCTAAAACAAATAAGCACTCTGACTGAAGCTGGTAAGGCATGTGTGTCTGGAGAGCCTTCCCTTGCCTCTATCTCCTGACTAACCTGACTAGCACCTGACTCACTGAATAGCACCTGACTCACTGAATAGCACCTGACTCACTGACTAGCACCTGACTCACTGACTAGCACCTGATTCACTGACTAGCACCTGACTCACTGACTAGCACCTGACTCACTGACTAGCACATGACTATCACCTGACTCACTGACTATCACCTGACTGCAGCATGACTATCACCTGACTCACTGACTATCACCGGACTCACTGACTATCACCGGACTCACTGACTATCACCTGACTCACTGACTATCACCTGACTCACTGACTATCACCTGACTCACTGACTATCACCTGACTCACTGACTATCACCTGACTCACTGACTATCACCTGACTCACTGACTATCACCTGACTCACTGACTATCACCTGACTCACTGACTATCACCTGACTCACTGACTATCACCTGACTATCACCTGACTCACTGACTATCACCTGACTCACTGACTATCACCTGACTCACTGACTATCACCTGACTCACTGACTATCACCTGACTGCATCCGGACTATCACTTGACTCACTGACTATCACCTGACTCACTGACTATCACCTGACAAGCACCTGACTATCTCCTGACTGCAGCCTGACTATCACCTGACTGCAACCTGACTCACCGACTATCACCTGACTCCCCGACTATCACATGACTCCCCGACTATCACATGACTCACCAACTAGTACCTGACTATCACCTGACTCACTGACTAGCACCTGACTAACACCTGACTAGCACCTGATTCGCTGACTAGCACCTGACTATCACCCGACTCACTGACTAGCACCTGATTATTACCCGACTCACTGACTTGCACCTGACTATCGCCTGACTCACTGACTAGCACCTGACTCACTGACTATCACATGACTCACTGACTAGCACCTGACTCACTGACTATCACCTGACTCACTGACTAGCACCTGACTGCAGCCTGACTATCACCTGACTCACTGACTAGCACCTAACTCACTGACTAGCACCTGACTCATTAACTAGCACCTGACTATCACCTGATTCACTGACTAGCACCTGACTATCGCCTAACTCACTGACTAGCACCTGACTCACTGACTATCACCTGACTCACTGACTATCACCTGACTCACTGACTATCACCTGACTCACTGACTAGCACCTGACTCACTGACTATCACCTGACTCACTGACTATCACCTGACTCACTGACTATCACCTGACTATCACCTGACTCACTGACTATCACCTGACTCACTGACTATCACCTGACTCACTGACTATCACCTGACTCACTGACTATCACCTGACTCACTGACTATCACCTGACTCACTGACTATCACCTGACTATCACCTGACTCACTGACTATCACCTGACTCACTGACTATCACCTGACTCACTGACTATCACCTGACTCACTGACTATCACCTGACTGCATCCGGACTATCACTTGACTCACTGACTATCACCTGACTCACTGACTATCACCTGACAAGCACCTGACTATCTCCTGACTGCAGCCTGACTATCACCTGACTCACTGACTATCACCTGACTGCAACCTGACTCACCGACTATCACCTGACTCCCCGACTATCACATGACTCCCCGACTATCACATGACTCACCAACTAGTACCTGACTATCACCTGACTCACTGACTAGCACCTGACTAACACCTGACTAGCACCTGATTCACTGACTAGCACCTGACTATCACCCGACTCACTGACTAGCACCTGATTATTACCCGACTCACTGACTTGCACCTGACTATCGCCTGACTCACTGACTAGCACCTGACTCACTGACTATCACCTGACTCACCCGACTCACTGACTTGCACCTGACTATCGCCTGACTCACTGACTAGCACCTGACTCACTGACTATCACATGACTCACTGACTAGCACCTGACTCACTGACTATCACCTGACTCACTGACTAGCACCTGACTGCAGCCTGACTATCACCTGACTCACTGACTAGCACCTAACTCACTGACTAGCACCTGACTCATTAACTAGCACCTGACTATCACCTGATTCACTGACTAGCACCTGACTATCGCCTGACTCACTGACTAGCACCTGACTCACTGACTAGCACCTGACTCACTGACTAGCACCTGACTCACTGACTAGCACCTGACTCACTGACTATCACCTGACTCACTGACTATCACCTGACTCACTGACTAGCACCTGATTCATTGACTATCACCTGACTCACTGACTAGCACCTGACTCACTGACTAGCACCTGACTCACTGACTATCACCTGACTCACTGACTATCACCTGACTCACTGACTATCACCTGACTCACTGACTAGCACCTGATTCATTGACTAGCACCTGACTCACTGACTAGCACCTGACTCACTTCATGACTTCTATGTAGCCCTTGGCAGCAGCCACGTGCAGCGCTGTGGCCTTGGTGTTGGGGTGAGGTGTCAGCATGCCACTGCCTGCCAGCACCGCGTTGGCATCTTCCAGCATCACCCGCTCCTCTTCCCTCCTCGCCAGATCTACATCCACCCCTGGGGACAGAGAGACGGACATAGTTAGGGACACACATGGACGCACACAGAGAGACACACACACCTACAGAGAGGGGAAATAAAGGCTAAATTGAGAGAGGGCAAGTCATCTTCTGCCTATTCTCTGTTGGTGAGTCGGTCTAATTTAATTGAACAGATACTCATGCCTTTTAAAGATTATTCGATGCTGGTTAATCAGAACTTGTCACCTTGCAAAAAACAGTAGTAATCCACCAGCTTTTGCTTTGATTGTCAATATTGACAATTTGTCAACATAATATATTTAAAAGCCCTACTCTGTGCAATTGCATATTTGTACATATTTTCCTGGCATATATTGTCATTCCTAGCCTGTTTCCGATTTTGTTTCAGAATCTTAAAGTCAGTGGCCATTCTAACCATTACTTCAATTACAGCAATTGCGGTGGTAGCAGCACTAATGAGATTTTGTTAACGTCACAACATCACAAGCACATGGAATTCAATTGCAGGTGTTATTGTGTTTTGAGGAAGAGAGAAAATGTGTGCTGTGCTTTTCCGAGGACTGTTAATATGGCTACATAACAATTCCTGAATAACCTAAAAAAACAGCTGGTGAAGATCGTGAACAGAGAAAACGTGCTGCTTTTCAATAGGACTGTGTGTTAAGGACAGTAGGTGTTAATATGGGACTGTGTGTAAAGTCAGGGCGGCAGGTAGTTTAGTGGGTAAGAGCGTTGTGCCAGTAACCGAAAGGTCGCTGGTTCTAATCCCCGAGCCGACTAGGGGATTAGGTGTTGATATGGGACTGTGTGTTAAGGATGGTACAGTGGGGAGAACAAGTATTTGATACACTGCCGATTTTGCAGGTTTTCCTACTTACAAAGCATGTAGAGGTCTGTAATTTTTATCATAAGTACACTTCAACTGTGAGAGACGGAATCTAAAACAAAAATCCAGAAAATCACATTGTATGATTTTTAAGTAATTAATTAGCATTTTATTGCATGACATAAGTATTTGATACATCAGAAAAGCATAACTTAATATTTGGTACAGAAACCTTTGTTTGCAATTACAGAGATCATACGTTTCCTGTAGGTCTTGACCAGGTTTGCACACACTGCTGCAGGGATTTTGGCCCACTCCTCCATAAAGACCTTCTCCAGATCCTTCAGGTTTCGGGGCTGTCGCTGGGCAATACGGACTTTCAGCTCCCTCCAAAGATTTTCTATTGGGTTCAGGTCTGGAGACTGGCTAGGCCACTCCAGGACCTTGAGATGCTTCTTATGGAGCCACTCCTTAGTTGCCCTGGCTGTGTGTTTCAGGTCGTTGTCATGCTGGAAGACCCAGCCACGACCCATCTTCAATGCTCTTACTGAGGGAAGGAGGTTGTTGGCCAAGATCTCGCGATACATGGCCCCATCCATCCTCCCCTCAATACGGTGCAGTCGTCCTGTTCCCTTTGCAGAAAAGCTTCCCCAAAGAATGATGTTTCCACCTCCATGCTTCACGGTTGGGATGGTGTTCTTGGGGTTGTACTCATCCTTCTTCTTCCTCCAAACACGGCGAGTGGAGTTTAGACCAAAAAGCTCTATTTTTGTCTCATCAGACCACATGACCTTCTCCCATTCCTCCTCTGGATCATCCAGATGGTCATTGGCAAACTTCAGACGGGCCTGGACATGCGCTGGCTTGAGCAGTGGGACGTTGCGTGCGCTGCAGGATTTTAATCCATGACGGCGTAGTGTGTTACTAATGGTTTTCTTTGAGACTGTGGTCTCAGCTCTCTTCAGGTCATTGACCAGGTCCTGCCGTGTAGTTCTGGGCTGATCCCTCACCTTCCTTATGATCATTGATGCCCCACGAGGTGAGATCTTGCATGGAGCCCCAGACCGAGGGTGATTGACCGTCATCTTGAACTTCTTCCATTTTCTAATAATTGCGCCAACAGTTGTTGCCTTCTCACCAAGCTGCTTGCCTATTGTCCTGTAGCCCATCCCAGCCTTGTGCAGGTCTACAATTTTATCCCTGATGTCCTCTCTGGTCTTGGCCATTGTGGAGAGGTTGGAGTCTGTTTGATTGAGTGTGTGGACAGGTGTCTTTTATACAGGTAACGAGTTCAAACAGGTGCAGTTAATACAGGTAATGAGTGGAGAACAGGAGGGCTTCTTAAAGAAAAACTAACAGGTCTGTGAGAGCCGGAATTCTTACTGGTTGGTAGGTGATCAAATACTTATGTCATGCAATAAAATGCAAATTAATTACTTAAAAATCATACAGTGTGATTTTCTGGATTTTTGTTTTAGATTCCATCTCTCACAGTTGAAGTGTACCTATGATAAAAATTACAGACCTCTACATGCTTTGTAAGTAGGAAAACCTGCAAACTCGGCAGTGTATCAAATACTTGTTCTCCCCACTGTAGGTGTTAATATGGGACTGTGTGTTAAGGATGGTAGGTGTTGATATGGGACTGTGTGTTAAGGATGGTAGGTGTTAATATGGGGACATACCAATCCCTAGACAAACGCCTCCTGAGGGACGAAGATCCACTCTTGGATTGAAGCCTTGTACTAACCAGCCTGATACAAAGAGCTCAGTGATGGAGAGATAGTATGTGTGGGTCCTACCTCATCACTACACGTTTTCATCAGTCCAGCAGCCATATTATAGAACACCCAGACTACATAACAATCCCTAGTTACCCTGCTTCTAGATCTCTCCCTTCAAATGTAGCCTACATAGACACTACATAACAGTTCATACCCTGTTTCTTGATCTCTCCCTTCAGCAGTCTCTCCATAGCATCCTCAGTAGCAACATCCAGAGGAAGCTCTCCTTCACTGTTCACCGCCCCCACACGTGCACCGTGCTCTATCAGGTACCTGCAACATACACACACATTATAAAGGTTCCTACACACAGGCACAGAAAGGTTTCCTACACACAAGCACAGAAAAGGTTCCTACACACAAGCACAGAAAAGGTTCCTAGTCTACACAGGTATACTTGCACACAGAGAGAACGAGCTCAGTATTGAAGTTTGTTCAGATGTGGTCATTAGCTGTGCAGATCTTTTAGTGTTGACTTGTTACCTCTCGTGGCTATTTACTCCCAAATGCCCTGACAATGAGCGTAGGAGTTGGCTATTCAGCACAGACAGATACCGGTCAGCAATCTGACTACATTACACACTCAAAGACACACATTACACAACTTCACATCAATATAGAGTTGAAGTCGGAAGTTTACATACACTTAGGTTGGAGTCATTAAAACTTGTTTTTCAACCACTCCACAAATTTCTTGTTAACAAACTATAGTTTTGGCAAGTCAGTTAGGACATCTACTTTGTGCATGACAGAAGTAATTTTTCCAACAATTGTTTACAGACAGATTATTTCACTTATAATTCACTGTATCACAATTCCAGTGGGTCAGAAGTATACATACACTAAGTTGACTGTGCCTTTAAACAGCTTGGAAATTCCAGAAAATGATGTCATGGCTTTAGAAGCTAATTGACATAATTTGAGTCAATTGAAGGTGTACCTGTGGATGTATTTCAAGGCCTACCTTCAAACTCAGTGCCTATTTGCTTGACATCATTAGAAATCAAAAGAAATCAGCCAAGACCTCAGAATAAAAATTGTAGACCTCCACAAGTCTGGTTCATCCTTGGGAGCAATTTCCAAACGCCTGAAGGGACCACGTTCATCTGTACAAACAATAGTACGCAAGTATAAACACCATGGGACCACGCAGCCGTCATACCGCTCAGGAAGGAGACACGTTCTGTCTCCTGGAGATGAACGTACTTTGGTGCGAAAAGTGCAAATCAATCCCAGAACAACAGCAAAGGACCTTGTGAAGATGCTAGAGGAAACAGGTACAAAAGTATCTATATCCACAGTAAAACGAGTCCTATATCGACATAACCTGAAAGGCCGCTCAGTAAGGAAGAAGCCACTGCTCCAAAACCGCCATAAAAAAGCCAGACTACGGTTTGCAACTGCACATGGAGACAAAGATTGTACTTTTTGGAGAAATGTCCTCTGGTCTGATTAAACAACAATATAACTATTTGGCCATAATGACCATTGTTATGTTTGGAGGAAAATGGGGGTTGCTTGCAAGCCGAAGAACACCATCCCAACTGTGAAGCACGGGGGTGGCAGCATCATGCTGTGGGGGTGCTTTGCTGCAGGAGGGACTGGTGCACTTCACAAAATAGATGGCATCATGAGGAAGGAAAATTGTGTGGATATATTGAAGCAACATCTCAAGACATCAGTCAGGAAGTTAAAGCTTGGTTGCAAATGGGTCTTCCAAATGGACAATGACCCCAAGCATACTTCCAAAGTTGTGGCAAAATGGCTTAAGGACAACAAAGTCAAGGTATTGGAGTGGCCATCACAAACCCCTAACCTCAATCCTATAGAACATTTGTGGGCAGAACTGAAAAAGCGTGTGCGAGCAAGGAGGCCTACAAACCTGACTCAGTTACACCAGCTCTGTCAGGAGGAATGGGCCAAAATTCACCCAACTTATGGGAAGCTTGTGGAAGGCTACCCGAAACGTTTGACCCAAGTTAAACAATTTAAAGGCAATGCTACCAAATACTAATTGAGTGTATGTAAACTTCTGACCCACTGGGAATGTGATGAAATAAATAAAAAGCTGAAATAAATCATTCTCTCTACTATTATTCTGACATTTCACATTCTTAAAATAAAGTGGTGATCCTAACTGACCTAAAACGGGGAATTTTTACTAGGATTAAATGTCAGGAATTGTGAAAAACAGAGTTTATATGTATTTGGCTAAGGTGTATGTAAACTTCCGACTTCAACTGTAAATGTATTGTATAGCAACATTACACAACATCACATCAATATAAATGTATTGTATAGTGCAGTAGTGTTTCTTAATCCTGGTCCGGGGGGCCCAAAGGGGTATATATACATTCTTGTTTTGCCCTAACACTAACACACATGATTCCACTAATCAAAAGCTCGATGATGAGTTGACTAGTAGAATCATCTGTGTAGCGCTTTAGGGAAAATTCTAAAATGTGCATCCCTTTGGGTCCCCAGGACAAAGAAAACACAGGTATGATGTAACATTAGAGAAGAGAGAGGACCCACTTGGTGATCTGTATGAACCCACAGGAGGCAGCAGCGTGGAGGGGAGTCCATCCCTCATTGTCCCCCCTGTTCACGTCGCTCCCACTCTCCACCAGGAACTGGACCATCTCTGCATTCTCATCTATACACGCCTGGAGAGGACAGGAGACACCTGATCAAACGCTGAGTCAGACTGGACAGGAGACACCTGATCAAACACTGAATCAGACTGGACAGGAGACACGATCAAACGCTGAATCAGACTGGACAGGAGACACATGTTCAAACACAGAATCAGACTGGACAGGAGACACATGATCAAACACAGAATCAGACTGGACAGAAGATACATGATCAAACTCTGAATCTTGACACATTGATTAAAACACTTTTTCTCATCCTAGAGATAGGAGGTTCAATTGGCTAAGTGGGTTAGTGGATCAGAGCATGGTGCTAGAAACACCAGGGTTGTGGGTTCAATTCCAAGATGGGCAATTTAATACATACAGTCACTGTCAATGTTTCCATTTCTGTCTCTTTGGATAAAAGCATCTGCTAAATTAGCATATTTATTATTCTGGACTACTGTGGACTATGTAGGGCAGTAGTCTGACTACTGTGGACTATGTAGGGCAGTAGTCTGACTACTGTGGACTATGTAGGGCAGTAGTCTGACTACTGTGGACTATGTAGGGCAGTAGTCTGACTACTGTGGACTATGTAGGGCAGTAGTCTGACTACTGTGGACTATGTAGGGCAGTAGTCTGACTACTGTGGACTATGTAGGGCAGTAGTCTGACTACTGTGGACTATGTAGGGCAGTAGTCCGACTACTGTGGACTATGTAGGGCAGTAGTCTGACCACTGTGGACTACGTAGGGCAGTAGTCTGACTACTGTGGACTATGTAGGGCAGTAGTCCGACTACTGTGGACTATGTAGGGCAGTAGTCTGACTACTGTGGACTATGTAGGGCAGTAGTCTGACTACTGTGGACTATGTAGGGCAGTAGTCTGACTACTGTGGACTATGTAGGGCAGTAGTCTGACTACTGTGGACTATGTAGGGCAGTAGTCCGACTACTGTGGACTATGTAGGGCAGTAGTCTGACCACTGTGGACTATGTAGGGCAGTAGTCTGACTACTGTGGACTATGTAGGGCAGTAGTCTGACTACTGTGGACTATGTAGGGCAGTAGTCTGACTACTGTGGACTATGTAGGGCAGTAGTCTGACTACTGTGGACTATGTAGGGCAGTAGTCTGACTACTGTGGACTATGTAGGGCAGTAGTCTGACTACTGTGGACTATGCAGGGCAGTAGCCTGACTAATGTGGACTATGTAGGGCAGTAGTCTGACTACTGTGGACTATGTAGGGCAGTAGTCTGACTACTGTGGACTATGTAGGGCAATAGTCTGACTACTGTGGACTATGTAGGGCAGTAGTCTGACTACTGTGGACTATGTAGGGCAGTGGTCTGACTACTGTGGACTATGTAGGGCAGTAGTCTGACTAATGTGGACTATGTAGGGCAGTAGTCTGACTAATGTGGACTATGTAGGGCAGTAGTCTGACTACTGTGGACTATGCAGGGCAGTAGTCTGACTACTGTGGACTATGTAGGGCAGTAGTCTGACTACTGTGGACTATGTAGGGCAGTAGTCTGACCACTGTGGACTATGTAGGGCAGTAGTCTGACTACTGTGGACTATGTAGGGCAATAGTCAGACTACTGTGGACTATGTAGGGCAGTAGTCTGACTACTGTGGACTATGTAGGGCAGTGGTCTGACTACTGTGGACTATGTAGGGCAGTGGTCTGACTAATGTGGACTATGTAGGGCAGTAGTCTGACTACTGTGGACTATGTAGGGCAGTAGTCTGACTACTGTGGACTATGTACGGCAGTAGTCTGACCACTGTGGACTATGTAGGGCAGTAGTCTGACTACTGTGGACTATGTAGGGCAGTAGTCTGACTACTGTGGACTATGTACGGCAGTAGTCTGACTACTGTGGACTATGTAGGGCAGTAGTCTGACTACTGTGGACTATGTAGGGCAGTAGTCTGTCTACTTAATCCCCTTATGATGACTACTGTGAGTAGATGTTTCTGTTTTATTTCCAGTTAACCAGGAGTGTGCCCACTTGATTAGTGGCACCCCTCTGGATAGCTGACTTTGGGTAGGAAGCTCATAAAAAACAGACAGTTATAAAAACGTACTGAGTGTTTGTCTGTGGTTAGAAGGTACTAGGTAGACAGCGCTATTCTGTCTGTAACACCTGGGAGAAAGAGAGCCGTTACAAAGAGCTTTCTGATTTGATTCCAAAAGGTTCGTAACAGAGGAGAAGAAAAATCGAACCCGTTGCCTTGACCATTTTCTATCCATCAGTTAATTTGTCAAAGACCACGCACAACAAATATTGCTCCAGATTTAGCTACATACAGTAGTTAATTTCCATCTGCAGGATAAATAGCATGTAGGGTGTGATTTGGGACGCAACCTAACAGTCCTATGTCCAAGTACTTATCTAAAAGCTAACTAGCGTTGCTGTTGTTGAGGCCAGACCGCACTGTGCTCTGGGTAATAACAACCCATGCCTTATCTGGGGCCAGAAGAACTAGCGTTAACTAGGGTCTGGCCTTATCTGTGCTGTATAGATAGACTGGGGCCAGAAGAACTAGCGTTAACTAGGGTCTGGCCTTATCTGTGCTGTATAGATAGACTGGGGCCAGAAGAACTAGCGTTAACTAGGGTCTGGCCTTATCTGTGCTGTATAGATAGATTGGGGCCAGAAGAACTAGCGTTAACTAGGGTCTGGCCTTATCTGTGCTGTATAGATAGACTGGGGCCAGAAGAACTAGCGTTAACTAGGGTCTGGCCTTATCTGTGCTGTATAGATAGACTGGGGCCAGAAGAACTAGAGTTAACTAGGGTCTGGCCTTATCTGTGCTGTATAGATAGACTGGGGCCAGAAGAACTAGCGTTAACTAGGGTCTGGCCTTATCTGTGCTGTATAGATAGACTGGGGCCAGAAGAACTAGAGTTAACTAGGGTCTGGCCTTATCTGTGCTGTATAGATAGACTGGGGCCAGAAGAACTAGCGTTAACTAGGGTCTGGCCTTATCTGTGCTGTATAGATAGACTGGGGCCAGAAGAACTAGCGTTAACTAGGGTCTGGCCACTACACATCCGCCCTTCTCTTATCAATGATGTGATAGCAGTTTTATGTAGAAATGTAATGTATAAACGTCAGAGGCCTATGCTACGGAGATGTGACAAGCCAGTGTTACCACAGTCCGGCCCTAGAGAGCTAGTTAACTACTGTCCGAGCGAGACGTGGACCACAACAGCAGCTTCCTTGTAAAACATCACACTAAACCACTAAAACACCTAAACCATTAACTCCCAACCTCACACTAAACCACAGACAGACATCACACTAAAGTTTAAACCACTGACTCCAGTTTCCGGAGATCCCTGGTCTGCTCTGTCCTCAGACTGGGTAGGCCAACCGTCCATAAGCCATCCATAAAGGCTTTCTTTTTAAAATAACCAATTACAAAGCTATTTAGGTCCCTCCCTCGTTCACGAAGTGAGATGATTGGTTGACTGGAATAATAATATAGAGTGCTACACCTACACCCGCTGCAGGACTGAGGTAGTTCTCTGCTAGCTGAACAAGACTAGAGTCTCCTAAAACCCAGTACTAATTTGAATTAGACTAGAGTCTCCTAAAACCCAGTACTAATTTGAATTAGACTAGAGTCTCCTAAAACCCAGTACTAATTTGAACTAGACTAGAGTCTCCTAAAACCCAGTACTAATTTTAATTAGACTAGAGTCTCCTAAAACCCAGTACTAATTTGAACTAGACTAGAGCCTTGTAAATACCAGTAGAAATTTGAACAAGACTAGAGTCTCCTAAAACCCAGTACTAATTTGAACTAGACTAGAGTCTCCTAAAACCCATTACTAAATTTCAAACTAGAACTAGAGTCTCCTAAAAACCCCAGTACGAATTTCAACTAGACTAGAGTCTCGTAAAAACCCAGTACTAATTTCCAACTAGACTAGAGTCTCCCTAAAACCCAGTACTAATTTGAAACGAGACTAGAGTCTCGTAAACCCAGTACCTAATTTCAACTAAGACTTAGAGTCTCCTAAACCCCGTACTAATTTTGAACCTAAGACGAGAATCTACCTAAAACCAGTAACTAATTTGGAACTAGACTAAACTAATACCACAATTTGAACAAGACTAGAGTCTCTAAAACCCTACTTTAATAACTAGAGCCTTTAAACCCATAAATTTGAACAAGACTATCTCGAAAACCCTACTAATTTAACAGACTAGACCCTAAACCATTGAAATAACTGATCATACAGTAAAATTACAAAACATCAACAACTATTAAGAAACTACCTAAATTAAACTAGACTAGATCCCTAAAACCCAGTACTAATTTAACTAGACTAGAGCCTTAAACCCAGTAGAATTTAAAAAGCCCTAAAACCCAGTATAATTTGAACTAGTAGAGCCTTCTAAAACCCAGTAAATTTGAACAGACTAGAGTCCTAAAACCCAGTACTAATTTGAAATAGAAGCCTGTAATCCATAAAATTTAAAAAACTAGATCCTAAAACCCAGTACTAATTTGAACAGACTAGAGCCTTTAAAACTAAAATTAATCAAACTAGTCTCGTAAAACCCAAAATTTAACTAGTAGAAGCCTTGTAAATACCAGTAATTTAACAAACAGATTCCTAAACAGTACTAATTTGATAAACAGACTTGTAATACATAGAAATTAACCTAATACTAAAATCAACTAATAGAAGTTTCAAAACAATTTGAATGACAAGATTTAAAACCATAAATTAAACAACTAATAGCAACCAAACTAATTTTAAACCCAGTAAGCTTAACAGAAAGTTGAACAAGCCAGTATATTAAAAGACTATTCAAAACAGCTAATTTAAAACTGACTAGTATTTAAAAACCGTACTCATTAAACTAGACTACTTTAAAACAGTAAATTCAGTAAATCTCTAAACAGTTAAACTAGATAAGCTGTAAAACCCGATATAATTAACTAGACTAGACAATACCCATAAATTTGAAACAGACTAGTATGTAAAACCCAGTAATTAATTTAAACTAGAATTGTCCAAACCCAGTACTAATTTGAACTAGACTAGTCTCCTAAAACAGTTAATTTAACTAGACTAGAGTCTCCTAAAACCAGTAATTTAACAGACTAGAGTCTCCTAAAACCC